ATTTAATAATGCTAAATACTAATGAGTTAGAATGTTTAAAAGTCTATACAGGGTTGTTCACCACATACGACACGGAGTATTGTAGCTAAACGATTAGATTTTTACAAATTGTAAGTTTTGGGTTCGTTGAAGGACTATTAGAGCTAAAATTTAAAAATATTTTTACAAGATACAGAGTGCTCCAAATAAATAAAACATACAGTGTATTTTTTAAATGGGACATCCTGTATATTATTCTATTTTTAGATTCTACGATTAAAATAAAGGTAAATTTGATTAAGGTTTATCACACTTAAATCGTTTTTGAAATATTTTCAATTATATGAAATTGCAGTAAAAATTTAAGGCTTCTCCGAGAATATCAAAGTTTTTTTTAACCGGCAATAACTTGAATCAAGAATCAAATGCACAATTTAATTGTCTATCAAATTGTATTATACCATTTTTTTACCTATCTCTTCAAGTTTTCGAAGAAAATGCATTTTCTTATAATTTAGACCTCATTTATTACATACTATACCCATAGAATATTGACATTTTAGATTATTTTTAAAGATGTAAAACATTTTCACAAAGCACACATACTAATATTGGCGATATAGTTTGCTTATTTCATTAAAAAATAAAAAAACTGTTTAAATATTTTTTGTTTGAATTAATATGATCCCAGTATTCAAACTACATTAATTGACAGTTTACGTTGCTTAATAATAATTGCTCCAAATACTAAAAAACTGAATTGGTACGTGTATGAGACAGTGTGGCAAAAAGTAACACCTTATAAATTTTATTTCATTTTTTGACGAATGCTTATTTATAACAGAGACGTTGATTTTCATAACTTATTATTAAATTGATTTCGGAGTCAACTCCACATTTATTTAGAGTAATTTATTAATTAAAACAATTAAGTAAGTATGTATTAACTAATTTTAGGTTAAATTTTTTTAGGTTTAGGAAGGTGGAAATAATGGGTGGTTATTTAATTGGTATAAATATTTAAATAGTTTTCTTTTTGTAAACAAATGGGCTTGCAATATTATTATTTTTACCACCTGTATATTTTGTACATATGTTGCTTTAAAAAAAATCTAAAATGTCAATATTCCATGGGTATAGTGATAAATGAGGTTTAAATTTGGTTTTTGAATACGAAAACTTGAAAAGATAGGTAAAATGGTATAATACAATTTGATAGACGATTATTAAATTGTGCATCTGATTGACGTAAAATGTACAGGATGTTCCATTTAAATTAAACAAGTTATTGCCGTTTAAAGCTAGTAATTATTTAATATAAATTTTTCGACACTCTGTATAAGGTAGAATAATTTTTATTATTGCAACACAATATGTGATCAATAAATAATCTTCAGTAGATATTTAGTATTAAAAACTTTGATACCCTTGGAGAAATGAAGCCTTAAATTTTTCACTGCAATTTCACAAAATTGAAAATATTTCAAAAACGATGAGGTTTAAGTGTGATAAACCTTAATCAAATTGACATTAATTTCAATAGTAGAATCTAAAAATAGAATAATATACAGGGTGTTCTATCACCCATTTTTTACTTGTTTGGGACACTCTTTATCTTGTAAAGTTATTCTTAAATTGTAGCTCTGATAGTTCGACTAACCCAAAACTTATAATTTTTAAAATCTAATCGTTTAGCTACAATACTCCGTGTCGTATGTGGTGAACAACCCTGTATATTAATTTTGATATTTTGCTTTCTTATATTATTTTATTATTACAAGATAATTCCCCATATAGTATTACTTCACCACTTTTATATGGATACTTTTGATATCTATTCTCTTCTATAAAATAATATATAATATTATAAAACAAATGTAATTTATTTATACCAATTATTTTTTCGAGTGTAATTGTTATAGATACTTGTGGGTACCTACCTATTTTCTACTACGGAAGATTTTTCTATTTAAGGTATTATTTTATTTCATTTTAAAGAGGAATTTGATATGCCTTCGTATAAAGAAAGGAAATAGCCTGCTGTCTACAGTTTCAGCAAAGCCTGAGAACGATTTTCTACTTAGAAGATTGGCTGCCAGGGTCTAACCAGGCAGCAAATGACATGCGGAAATAGGCATCTGGAAGGGTCTTAGCCGAAGAGAAAAATGAATAAAAACATAATTTAAAAAATAATATCGCTCTGCTTTTGTTATAAGATTTTTTATTATTGTATGTTAAGGTTGTATTGCAAAAACAAAAAAAAATGGCGCCACCCATACTAAAATATGTTAATAAAAATTTGGTAGGCATCAGTTCTTTTAGTTTCAATTATTTCAAAAACTGCGACTTTGACTGATTTTGATGTTATTAAAAATTTTGTTGTAAAATATTCCCTAATCTTAAATTGAAAACCGAGCAGAAGAAAGAAAGAGCGGGTAGATCCACAGAAACTGCTCTGTACCAGTTAACTGAGCTAATACAGGCAAGCCTGGATAGCAAAGAAACAGCACTTTGTGCCTTCTTGGACATTGCAGGGGCATTTGACTACATACCTCACAAGGTGGTCAAGCGATCTCTTGAAACAAGAGGGTGAACAATTACGATAATTCGCTGGTTTTGGGAAATGCTCTCAACACGAACAGCAGAGGCTGAGATAGGTACCAAAACTGTAGTTGTTAAAACAACGCAAGGAACTCCACAAGGTGGAGTGACCTCCCCCCTACTGTGGAGCTTGGTAGTGGATGAACTACTGGAAGAATTAACTCTAGCGGGAATACACTGCATAGGGTACGCAGATGACATAGTCATCATTGCACAGGGGAAACATGAAGGCACCCTGTGTGATATTATCCAAAGAGGATTCCGCATCGCTGAGAGATGGTGCAGGACTGTCGGGCTGAGTATTAACTCAGATAAAACCGCAGTAGTGCCATTCACCAGAAAGCGAAGTTTGAAAAACTTGAAAAGAATCCATCTAGATGGAAAGGAAATACTGCCATCACAGGAAGTGAAATATCTGGGAATAACCCTGGATAGTAAACTTCTCTGGAACAGGCATATTAAGAACATTACCAGCAAAGCCACAAAGGCTCTCATGATATGCAGAAGACTGGCGGGAAATAGGTGGGGCTGCGCCCCTAACATTTTGCGCTGGATGTATACCATGATAGTAAGACCCATGATTACTTATGGAGCAGTTGCTTGGTATACAAAACTAGAGCAACGTACAGCAAGGCAAACCCTGTGCAAAGTACAGAGACTGGCATGTATCTGCATCACAGGTGCCATGAGAACATGTCCAACAGCAGCAATGGAGGTCATTCTAGACCTAACACCACTGCATATTGTCGTCGGTAGTTATGCCAATGCGACAATGATTAGAATGGTCATTGACGGAAACAGTACTGGGAGAATTTTCAGGTCAGGGGCTTGGAACACCCTCAAAAAGAAAATTCCACTTCTCCAACTCCCAGTGGATGACATACCAAGAATTTACAACTTTGAGAAACACCTCACTGTAGTATTGAGTAATAAAAAGGATTGGAAGAAAGAAACGCTTACTCAGCATATAAAAGACCATACCATCACGTGGTATACTGATGCTTCCAAAACCAAAGCAGGGACAGGGATAGGAGTATTTGGGCCGAAAACTGAATACTCCGAACCAATGGGCACCTACCCCAGTATCCTTCAGGCAGAAATTTGCGCTATCGAAAGATGCGTACAATTTATCTTGGATAGGAACTATCGAAAACAGGAAATTGCCATCCTATCCGATAGTCAAGCAGCACTTAACGCGATCAACTCAGTAACCATCAATTCGAAGTTGGTCAAAGAATGCCTAGAGAAGCTCAACAAATTAGGCAAAGAAAATAAAGTCCTCCTACTCTGGGTGCCTGCTCACCAAGGGATAGAAGGCAATGAAAAAGCAAATGATCTAGCTAGAAAAGGAACGAACACTCCACTAACTGGACCAGAACCGTTCTGTTTTCCAAACGGGAACCAAGTGAAAGCGGAACTGAAGAATCTGGAAGACTCCATCCGTAACTTGGAATGGGTGTCCTCCAACGGTCTAAGACACTCGAAAAATGTTTTCCTTGATTTAAGTAAAAACAATCTTCGGATTGTCACGGGGTTTCTAACAGGACACTGTCTCCTCAACGAACACCTCAGTATGCTGAAACTGAGAAACAACGGCGAATGCAGATTTTGTGGGGAAAATGGGGAAACACCAGAACACCTTATCACTGAGTGCGCCGAGACGACGACCATTCGTGCCATGAACCTTGGTACGTCTGATGTCGATGATGGAGAGCTGGCCTCTGTGGAGCCGTCTCAGATACTGGCTTTTCTTAAAGCCCTGAGACTGTATGATGAGTTATAACTCGTTATAACTCAAGAAAGGGGAACACACAATAAATCTATAAGGTCGCGGTGATTAACTCCCCTCCTAAACATTCTACATTCTACAAATTGAAAACCGCGTTTCGCTAGCTACTGTAATTTTGGATTTACAATTTTTTTAAATTTAAAACCCCCTCCCATACCCCCTTACCAACCCCCCAACCCCACCAAAAAGTAATGGCCAAATTCTCGGGTGCCACAGTCTTTTTGTGCCAAATTTGGTTAAAATCGGATTCGCGGTTTCTGAGTTATCGTGTTACAGACAGACGGACAGACAGACACCATGAAAAAATATTTTGTATTTAGATCATTTATGACCTGTTGTTATGGTCGGCTAATAATTATTAATTAATTTACAAGGCAAATCAATCTCAAAATTATTCTATATTTCCGTCCTTTTCAGTATAAACAAATCTAACAATCCAAATTTTCATTGTCACGCTGACTTTACGATCCATACTGTATATACTGTATATAGTGACTCTTATTAATATATTAATCATCCACTGTTGGATCAGGTGATTATAGCAGTCATATTTCACACGACATGTTTAATAAAGCACCCTATTAGTGTTATCAAGCGGAAAAATATTTT